CGAGGTCAATGGTCTAACGACTACGGCATGCACGACTATGAGTATGAGTAAACTCCCCGCCCCCGCCACCACACGCTTCACTTAACAATACGCTGCTTGCACTTCCTAAAATCTTCTGACGCTAATACGTTGCACTCTCTCACATATGGGCCGCGCCGATACGAAAAGGCGGCGGACTCCCTTGGCTCTCTCACTTTCCCACCAAAGCAGGCTGTCTCCCTGCTTTGGTTCCATCTCTCCAACAAACTTGATACCTGACTAAAACACAGCAAAAACAATCCCGAAAAACGACTCCCTCCTGACGCAGAGAGAAATGTAGCCCGTCAGGCAGGCGGGCGGCGAGAAGAAAAGAAAAGATTGTGTCTTCAAACACTCTCCTCGTCGAAAAGAAAAAAATTCAACATTCTCTCGTCGGACAAAAAGCACCATTTGGTCTCTCTCTAGCGCCCCCCCCCCACCCTCTCACCCTGATCTTCCCCACTCATCTCCGTCAAAAAGGAAACCGGTCGTGCTCCCCCCCCCTCCCGTCTTTGCCTCTTTCATGTGTGCTTCCGCCAAGCATGCTTAACGAGGCCGGGCTCGTGAAAGGCAGCGGCTCGGCCTAACGAATGTAAATACACAAGGAACTCGGAGAAAAAACTGGCTTACGATAGCCAGACAATCCGCCCGCGCTACTTCATAGCAGAGCGGCGCTGCAACCAAAGAACGGTCGCATGTAAAACAAAGAAACGCTCTCTCAGCCTCTTGATCCTATCCACGCACCCTTCTCCACACATCTTCAAAGGGAGGGGCGGCCCGTGGTCGAACATTGTTCAGGCAAGCACAAAGGACGAGGAAGAAAACCACCCAAAACAAGCCCATGCACCTGACTACACCACCAATCTCGCTCCCATCGCCTCTCTGGGGGTCCCAGAAGAGTGCACTATCTCTGCCGTAGTGCGGTGGGTGAATTTCTTGTCCTCGCCCATGTATCAAACCACAAGTAGGAGATTTGCCCCAGGAGGGGAATCAAAATCACGGCAGTGACTCCTGATGGGGGTGAACTAAAAAAAAACGAGACACATCCGGGGGATGCTTCGAAATGCCCTCCACCACGGCACCCCCGGAGACACACAGCACCGCGCTCGTCGCAGACAAAACACACAAACACAAGACGGGCATAGCAACAGCAACAACGACGACCACAACGACGATGACCGTCACTTGGCGACGAATACCTGAGACTTCCTAGACTCGTACTGCCCAAACCAGAGTCATTTATTGGCACCTAGAGACTCTCAATCCCACCCCGTGACCTGATGAGGCTTGTCGCCCTCCCACCTCAAGACACGCAAAAAAAACGCAATGTATACAGATGACACTTTCGTCCCCAACAGCTCGAACTGGAGGTTGGAGGGGGCGTTCCATTTCCCGAGGCACGAATAACCCTCTACAATAAACATGAACGTCACGGTTGCAAAACTTCCTCGCTCGTTGTCCCACCGCCGAAGAAACCGGCGGGAAAGGCGGACGGTCGATCGTCATCGCTGCTACCCTCGCGACTGTCGCCATCGTCCGATGACGCCCCGAAAGAGATGATCACGGACCTACTCGCCCTGATGCCCTCGTTGTCCCTGCCGCCCCCGTCCTCCCCGCGAGGCCCTCCCGGCCCTCCTCCGCCGCTGTTGACCGCCCACCTCCGCAACGACGGTGCCCGCGAGAGCGCGGCGGCAGCCCCGGCATTGGAGTTTCTCGCGGGCGTCAAAATGCGAGTTGGAGGTGGGCTCGAAGCGCGCGAGAACGCATCTCTGTCTTGGCCGTCGATGGAAGACACGGCGGGCGACATCGAGACTTGCCGGCTGACACTCGCACGCGCCACCCATTGACGCACCGACGGCTGTGTCTCCAACTTCGGCGTGACTTCAAGGAGCGGCGGCGAGGCCCTCGCTTCCCCGTTGAGGTGCCCCGCTAAGCTCCCGTTTCCTTCTCCCTGCTCTCCCGCTTCCCCCCACTCACCGCGTCTCGGCGTCACCAAAACGCCCTCCGTCCTTACACCGTTCTGCCCACCTGCCCGCCCTTTCCCCCCTCCCACCGGCGCCTTTGGTAGGCGCCTCGATGTCCCCCGCCGCGGGAGTGTCGCGAAGACGGGAGAAGTCAACGCTTCCACTTTCGCCTCTTCTTCTTCCGCTTCCTCTTCGTCGTCCTCCACCTCCTCCTTCTCGTCGTCGCCATCCTCCATCTCCCCCTTCTCCTCCTCGTTTACGACGCTGGAGGTACGCAAGGGCATCGCGGTAGAAGCGCTGACGGAGTTCACGTTCTTGCTGTTGGTGGCGCTGCCGGATAGGGTCCTGCTGTCGTCGCGACGAAGTAGTACCGGATGTGGCGCCGGCGTCGACGACGGTGACTGTGGTGATGACGGGGCGAAGAAGCCAGACTTGCTCGTGTCATTAGGGGAAGGAGTATCTGGGCCTTTCGTCTCGCCAACACCGCCCTCTCTCGCCGCCGCCGCCGCCGCCGCCGCTGCTGCTGCTGCTGCTGCCTCTTCTTTGTTCCTGATTGGGTAGGGGAAGGTTTGGTGTTGCTTGTGCTTGACATTCGTGTACGTGTGGCGGCACCTGGAAAGACCACTGCAGCATACGCCCGAACTCTCGATACTCCGCTGTAGCACAAGACGAAACACCCACCTCTCCTTCGCTCTTGCAGCCGCCCTGTGCTAACCATGGCTGCCGCAAAAGCGGCCAATGCAACACCACCGAGTACACGAACAACAACTCTGGAAGCGAGTGAGTGTTTTTCTACATGCTTGGCCCAGCATCTCTTTTCGTCTCGAAAATATTTGGCAGACAGAGAACCAAAAAGAAAAAGCGCTGTCGCCTATGGCAACTCGTGTACACTCGCATCCAGGGTTTTGGACACCCGCGTGGAAACCAACAGCGTCAGACAACACCCAACGTACCTCCCTGCCCCAGATACAGAAAAAACAGACACCGAAAAGTACTGATGTGGTTATACTGAGACTCCATCTCTTAAACTTAGATACGACTACACGACCACGAGGCATGGGCGTTTGCGACACAATGGGAAGCCTAGACACGAGTTTTGTCCGCCGCGCGAGGAAACCATTGCAAGCGCGTCCGACCTATGAAAGCCAGCTTCCCTCAAAACACGCCTTCTCGAATGTACCATCCTTTTTTTATGTTTAGCATCATGGCCCTGCACCCCACGCGTCTAAGTCTTCATTTCGCCATGCTGAGATACCGCGGTACAGTGTGTTCTTGTAGCACGAGAGAGCAAAGAGAAGAAGAAAGAGCAGGCATTTGGTAGACAGCACTCTTGCGGCAGATGCACACCACGGTCAGAGGGCAAGCCGCGCGTCTTTCTTTTTGGTCCGACTACCGACCGTGCCGTGGGGGGCGAACACATACTTCCATGCACAATAGAAAAACACAAATCGCGCTCGAAGAATCGCACGCGGTAGGAGCACACGGCTCTGCCACAAGACGCAGTTTCTTCGTCGCAGCGGCAGCAGCAAGAATCAAACACATGCGCAACACGCCCTTCACGTCCACTCAGGCAAGTGATCAATCTTCTGACTATCCCATCTCCACATGTACGAGGGTACGACTACCTACCTACCAGTTGCCTTCCGCTGCTGTACACTACAAGGAACGGGACAGGGGGGGGGGGGGG